AGTTTTTATTAAAAAAATTAAACTTTTTAATAAAAACACAGGCAAATTTGCCTGTGTTACAATTTAAGGGATAGGATAGATTTTAGTATTATTTCATATATTGTATTTTATTATTATCTTAGTTATTATTTAGTTTAAGAGAAAATAATATGGCACAGTAACTTGATGCTTGACACTTGATGCTTGTTGCTTGACACTTGACACTTGATACTTGACACTTGATGCTTAATGCTTGATGCTTGACACTTGATGTTTGATATTTAATGCTTGACGCTTGATGTTTGACACTTGGCACTTCTTGATACCGATTATCTATAAGCATTGATGCTTTACTTAACAGATATAAAAACCACACTTTTTACTCTAAGTTAAAGATAGACCAGAATTTAAACAAGTTCTTATTTTCTCTTTAATAAATAAAATTTAAACCTTTCTCTTTAATGAACCTTTAGTAAAAGTATGCACTGTATTATTACCAAACCACTCAGAGATGAGTGTAGTTTCTTAACAAATACAAGGAACTACACTTACCTCTTGGACACTGCTATAAACTTATAAGGAGTCCTTGTAGCTTTGTTATTGTTATAGTAGGGAGTTTAAGAAGACCTTTCTACTGTAACACCATTTTTTTTTTTTTTTTTTTTTTATTTCTTTGACGGATCTTGCCGTGACTTGATTTCTTAGTTTGTAGTACATTTAATCTATATACATTTATTTCTAAGACTAATTAAAAGCTCGACTTCATCTAACTACTTAAATAGTAACCAAATGCAACCCATCGCACTGGCTTATGGATAAGCCAGAAAGAAGCTCTTTTTTTAAGAGCTTGTCCAAAAGGAGTTTACACCCTCTTGTATCTAACTTGAGATAGCGTCGCCCCATGTTTTTTTAATCTTATTTCTTTTTTTTGCAATTTCATCTCTTTTGGCTTTGCTAATCTTGGTTTTACTTTTCAAATTAGACAATGTATTCTTCTTTGGCTTTGGAGATTTTTCTCTTGTTTTCCTCTTGTCCTTCTTTCTTATCTTTTGTTTTTCCTTCCATTCTGCAACTTTAGTACATCTATCAATCCATATAAAGTCATAGAAACCATTCCAGATTATATGGGTAGCGAGTTCGATTGTTCGTGCACTGTAATACCATAATAATTGTTTTTTTATTTAATAAACAGTATTATTTTATTTAATAAGTAGTAATTAATAAACAATATATTTTATTTAAAAAAGAAATTAACAATATATTTATTTAAAAAAAATAGCTAAACAATATATTAATAAATTAAAAAATATCAAATAAAACATATAAAAACTCTACTAAAAATACAGAATTTATTTAACAATTATATTATTCTGATTCTTGTAAAACCAAGCCCAAATTTTATACTATAAAAAAGTTTAAAAACAAATATAGGATAAAATAAAAATATTAAAGTACTTATAAAACAAATAAAATCAATTATATTGAAATACAAATCTGAATTGGATTCCTTATTCTCTTTGTGGAAACCACGTTTAAAACCAAACTGAAAATAAGTTGTATTTTCTACATCACCCTTTATCAGACCTATAATAAAATTCATAAAGTACTATTTTGTCTTACAATACAGATTCTTGAAAATATTTTGGAATACAAGCTAATAGAATCCAGTGTTGTTAATTTTTGCTTCCAGTAGAAATTTTTAGCTTTTCAGTAGAAAAAAAATTTGTAATAGTAAAAGTTCCAGTAGTACTATTAATTTTCTTCTAGTGTTCCAATTGTCTTTCAGTAGCTTTTAGTTAACAACACTATAATAGAATAAATTGTGAGTTTTTAAATAATTATAAAGTGAATGACTAATAGATCATAAGATTTTAATTATAAAAAAAGTTGTGATCTAATCTAGTTATACTTGAGATTTTCATAGCAATATATTGTTGCCATTGCAACAAACTTCAATATTTCAACAAACACTTATTCGAATATTTGAAAATTAGAACTTGCTTCTAACAAATACTTTTGTGTTAATAAATAAAATTCAATTAAAAGAGCTGCAAACTTTAATTGATTATCGATATCATAAACCTTAATATATATCGAATTACCTGATTGGTTGAAAATCATTTAGCTGCGGCTGCAGCTGCGCCATGATCGATGTCACTGGCACTTTGGAGGGGCCGCCCTGGTACTATCAGTTCAACTATTATCTAATCAACATAATGTCATGTGCATAAGGAGGTTATCATTGATTAGTCGTTTCTCACATGATAAACCCAAAATTTGAGAAAGTCCTCCATGCTTCTACTTTTAAATTCTTTTGGTCTTAACTCTTACTACAGTACTAACTCGTCATCGTCCATTTTTGTGCTTGCAAAACGTTACGCAATATGTCTTTCATATTGTGTAACATTCCGGTCGATCATCCAATCAGAATGAAAGCCCGCTATGCTATTGTTTACCTATAAATCCTTACATTCCGTAATATTTCCGTGCAACATTCCTACTTTCTGCGACAATTCCGTGCTATTTTTGACGCATCCCGTGTTTATCCACCAATTCCGTGATTCTGCGGCATTCCGTGAAATGCAAAAAATCATCGTCCCTGGGCAAACTCATGTTAATCCGCGACAATAAATTACTTTGCACGTTAATTTCGGAACTTTATGCTCATGGATACATGAGAAAAATAAAGATCACATTTGAAAATAGATTCTTCATGATCTGTAGCCTGTCATTCGTACGTACGTACATACGTACGTCGTACGTGCTTACGCAATGTCTAATGACGTATCACATAATGTACGTAATGTTGTATTACCATTACGCGTCCATAATCTGTGACAGGTTACGCCATTGATATCAACGCCTTTAACGTATCAGGTATCGTTATAACTACATTACGATTTTGCCAAAAACTGCCTTCGACGTTCTAATAAATTAATTAGTTTAATTGAAAATTTTATGATACTATGTCGATATGAATTAGAAATTTTAGAAATTCAAAGGCTGCATTACATTTTCGATATTGAATTAATTGAAAACATATAAAAAATAAAGTAATTCTTAAAAATAAAATAGCGAAATACGTATCACATAAATGCTATGATATAACTTAATAAATACTCTTTCGATACATAAGATGGTAAAGAGAAATAAATAAATATGATTAAATCGTTCTTTAAGATCACGATTTACTCACGTATCGTAATGATTTTAAACAAAGTTTTTTCAAATACATGTTTATTTATCACGATTTAGATCGTCCCTTAATTTACATTAGTGGCGTAACCTGTCACAGATGCATTACCATTCATAATGATAATTAAATCGAACCATCGGAGTAGATTTCATTGTTCAAACTCATCATAACGATAACGTAAAATATAATAATGGCTTCAAATGTTGTAGTTTTACTTCCCAATGCTAAAAGGCAAACTGTAAAGACGACACCTACGATGCCGTTAAAACAGATCGTCAACGCTGTTTGTGAAAAACAGGGGTATACGGACATAGAGTCTTATGGGTTAAAGTAAGCTAATAGCCTGATCTGTTTTTTCATTATCTTCCGCCACCAGTTTTACACATATAAACACATGTGTATATACCCTTGTTTATTTATAATACTTAGGCTAAACAAAAAGACTCTCGATCTTGGACTTTCTATGAGATTTGCCAATCTTGCGCCAGGTGCAAAACTAGAGCTTGTCAAAGTTTCTGCAACGAAAGGTAAGCATCAAACATCAAATAAACCAGATCTTTCTTGTTTCACTTGTTTTAAATCATTTTTTTATATATTAGCTCAGAAGGATGTTCAGATTGCCTTGCAATTAGATGACGGTGGAAGAATGATTGAGAAGTTTCCAATTACGACATCTATTTGGGATATAATACTTCATTTTGAGAGAACGTCTGCTAATGGGTAATTGTATACGCTCAGAAATATTCTAGTTATTTCAATATTAGAGGAGGGTTTAAATTTTTATAAATGATCTAATTCAGGTCTTTAAACCTTACGAGACGAACAGCACCAGCACCCCCAAAAAAAGGATTCTCGCTGAAAAAATTTAGTAAATCGAGCGAAACACAATTTTACCAGCAACCCGTGTGTTTAATATTAAATCGAGAGGTAGTTACCGTTGGATCATTTATTTCAATTAAATAAAATTTTATTCATCATTAAATATAAAATATTCATCTACATTATAGTATGGGACCATATCGTTACTGAAATCCACAACTTTGCAATCTGCTGGAATCACATCAGGAAATGCTGTATTACGACTTCTGTTTAGACAAACTGAATTTACTTTGGATGATGTTGTAAAGGATATTGAAGCATCACCTCCAAAAGAACTGACCGATACTGTACTCACGCTTGATAAACATCAGAAGGAGTCAATTGATACTATGAATGTTTCTGATGAACAACAGAAGGAGCTAATTGATACTATGAATGTTTCTGATGAACAACAAAAGGAGCCAATTGATTCTACGAATGATCTTGATGAACAGCAAAAGAAGCCAATTGATACTACTATGAATGATCCTGATGAACAATCGAAGGAGCCGATTGATACTAATATGAATGATCCTGATGAACAACCGAAGGAACCAATTGATACTACTATGAATGATCCTGATGAACAACCGAAGAAGCCAATTGATACTATGAATAGTCCTGATGAACAACCGAAGGAACCAATTGATATTACTATGAATGATCCTAATGAACAACCAAAAGAACAGATTGATACTGTAGGACATTTTGATCGTGATATAAAAGTGTTTAACCCACCACCAGAAAATGCATTGATGTCAAATCAAAGTAAGGCTTAGTATTGACGCCAATTATTATATCGTATAATGTGCTTTCGTAAGTATTAATTAAATTTTTTTTTTATTTAGTCGATCTTCCTGACTCTTTCTATGAATTGACTGCGGCTGAACTGCAATATTTACTGGCAAAACAAACCCTTAAACATAAAAGGGAAGAGAGTGCAGGGTTCAAGACTAATGCCATGCGTGCTCAAGAAGAAAAAGCAAGGGAACGCAAATACCCAAAGGTTATTATTGTACTACTTAATTTCACAAATATGAGAGCAAATATTTATAGTTAATATTATTGCAGACGTTAATCAGGGTCAAATTTCCTGATAGTTTCCAATTACAAATTGCCTTCTTATCTAAGGAACATGGTATTGTTACATTGGCATATTATAAAATGTGTGGAGTTATAGGTAAACAATAGCATAGCGGGCTTTCATTCTGATTGG